AGTATAAAATCCCTTGTCATGCTATTGCAATGAACATATTTTTTACAGTGAGTATCTAAATGGAAAATGTTCACACATTTTTAATAATGCAAGAAGAGTAGGAATAATGTAGGAAGCACAATTGTTCTGATGGAACTAACTGAATTTGGGCAATGTCAGGCGTGGTGCTGAGAGATTGCTACAGATTCTTTTCAAGTATATAGGAAGCAGACATTTGCATTTTGAAAAATACTTGAAACTCCAGGAATGGGGGACAGTGAAAAGGAGGAGAGAAGATCGTCTACTATGGAAACCAACACTGGCTCATAAAAATGTCAAAGTAAATAAAAATCCAGCTGGAGTGCCAACAAAACTAAATAGAATGAAACATACATGCTTTGTATTTCCATTGCATTTCTTCTTTCAATTCATGAGACTATGTATGTTGTATTTGCTACAGGAAGAACTTGTGTTAGTTATCTAATATAGTGGATCTCATTTAACAGAATAAAAATAAGGCTGAGAGAAGTTTCAAGGGAGTCCAAGGTCACCTCAAGAACAGTTAATATTCAAATCTAAGTCTTCTGAAATGTAATCTAGTTTTCTTTTTCTACATCTTTGGCATAGCTCACAATGTGTAGGAAGATAATGTCATCACTTAGGTATATTTTTCTTTCTCCAAGGGAACCTAAGGCTTACATTACCATCAAAGAATTATTGCACTAAATTTAGATTTTAGTATGAAAATTATTAATTGAAATCTATGTGACAGATGCAAATATAAAATGATGGAAGTTATTCCATTAGTAATTATATCATTTTCAAATGCAGACTGCAAAAACAAATATCATATCCGTTGCCTGAAAGGAAAGGTGGAGTGTTATATCCTGAGCAAGATTAAACAATTTCCTGAGCTAGTCATCACAATGGGAAAAATAGTTTCTAAGATCAGTGTCACAGAAGCCTCAAAATGAAATGAAGCGATGAAGTGGCACTAAGGTATAATCACACTCTCTTGACTTTCCTTATATATTTTTGTTTGTATTAAGAAACAGGTGAATGAATATGAAGCCAGAACCCCATGAAACCATACTCATGCTACTTGACTTTATTGTTAAATATTCTGAAATAGAGTCTTAAAATATTGAGAGTACATTTACTCTAAAATGTGTGGAAATCTGCCTGGACAATTACCACTAACAAGCTTTCAGGAGTGATTGAAGTCTTTTTTGTGCATAATATAAGAGGCCAGGAAATGGAATGTATATTTGTCAAAATACTTGACCATTTACTGCTTTTCTGTAAAAGAAGTGGAAACCAAACAGAGTGGGGGGAGGGGATTGTGGTAACCAGGCTGTGATTTCTGGTAACCAGGCTGACCGATATATCTAGAAGACAGAGCATGCAGCTACAAAGGCCCTTTGCTCTGTGTATCTGAAGTTTGTACGCTCCTCCCTGACCATTCATCCCTTTAGAAAGAAATAACAAACAAAAAAAATCCTTTGTGAGCCATCTAGTGTATAAAAGATAAACATGTACTGAGGATAATTGTGTACATTCTTCCACTCAAAGCCCATTAAGAATAAAAACTTTAAACTAAGCACATCTGTACTCCAATGTGAACTTAGGAAAGGATTTTGTGCCATGGGACAACCATACAGACCCTATACAAATAGGAATAGAGATATGTGCCTGGAAGGATAAAGTGACACTCCACTAATACTTCCAAGCTTGAAAGAAACAAATCAAAAAATGATTTTTCTCACCAAGAAGTCACAAGAACTTTGATTAGAAAGTTCAAACTCAAAGTAAAAGAAAAAAATTTCCAATAAATTATTTGCTTTGCATAGGATAATTGAGGCTGAACAAACTAAAGTGAAATGATCTTTTAAAAAATCCGAGACTTTACACAGGGTGCCAAATATTAGAGTTCAGTGGGTTAAAATGACAGCAGTTGGTGTTCCTGTAGCAGGCCAAGGGTGTTCAGATGCCAATGGTTTTTCAAGAAGACACTCCTGAAGGGAAATTTCAGCTGTATTTATCTTCCAATTTCTAAGAAGCAATAATTTCCTATAGCTATTATTGCTTATTCTAACCTACTGGATTAGTCTAAATTCTCAAAAAAAAAAAAAACCCTAAAAAAAACTATTATCATGGAGAAGGATAGATTCCTCCAAGTCTTCTTCTAATTATATTGATTTAGAAATCTTGTGAATTTATTTGGGTGTTTATAATGCATACAATAGTTCCAGAGCTTTTAAAGAGGGACTACTATTTTTTCTCTGATACTACAAAGACTATAAATGTCAGCTCTTTATTAACTGTGCTAACCATGGAGAAAGGAGGCATGTGTAAATGAAATCCGCAAGTACTCCAAATGCTTCTTGTTAGTCATTACTGTTCAATTCTTCCCTTGTAGTCATGTCCTAATAGTTGCCTATTTCTGTCAAGAATGCTTTGATTATCAGTCATTTAGGTATCTTTTAAAAAACTTTATTCTTGCTGGAATTACTGATTTTGTATGTTATGATTTGACAGGCTATTTGATGAGAAAAGTAGAGCCAGGGTATGAGGGAGGGAGTGAGGAAGAGGTGCATGTGTGGTCTGCGTAGCTTGGACTTTAAGTCAACTACTTTGGTTAAAACCCCAGCTCCTCTGGGCCACGTCTCCATAGTCATTATCCCCTTGTGCTATCAGACCATGGCAACATCATTCAGTTAGAACCAGTCATCAGATGAACCTTTTCATGGAGTGGTTTAGTGGGACCAGGTGAAATTGAAGGAAAGGCTTGAGGACAAAGAAAATCATATCCAACATATGTTATACGAATTTGCAAGTTACTGAATTTTATGGATTTATCAAGCATGTTGAATAACCATTAAAATCAGCTGCATTTTTCTGCAAGAGTATCAAACTTCCTTCCTTCTCTCACTTTTTTCCTTCTTTTTCAATAGGAAACTAAAAAAAAAAAAGGGAAAAGGAAAAGGAAGAAGGAAAAAAATCCATAAATGTTTATTTTCTCAGCACTGGACAAATTCAGTAGAATTATCGAAAGGAACCATGCTCTTTCAAATCCATTTTCTTTGAAACATCTCAAAATTATTTTTCAATATATTTGGTTTTAGCAATATCCTGTACATGCCATTCTCCAAGAATATCTTCCTTAAAAACCATGGGCTAAAGGAAAATTTAATTTTTTTCTTTCTTAGACTAGATTTCATAATCAAAGTCACATGAAAGGTACTTTGAGAACTTAGAAGTATTTTAAAGGTCTTTTCTTTTTAAGTTTAATTTAAACAAAGAAAAAATAAACAAGACTCTACAGAAAAAGACATATGGCCAAAATGTACATGAAAAAGTGCTCAGTATTCTTAGTATAAGAGAAATGCACATTAAAACCATAATGCAAGACTATTGCATTAGAATAGCTAAAATGAAAAATGCTGAGAACATGAAATGCTGGTGAGGATGTGGAACAATCAGAACTTTCATACATTGCTTGTGGGAGGGTAAATGGAAAAGCTGGGTCCCCAACAAAAAAAGTTAAATATACACTTTCTGGTGACACAGCAACTCTAATTCTAGGTATTTATCTAAGAGAATTAAAAGATACCTTCACAAAAGTCTTACACAAAAATCTTTATAAAAATCCATATTCATAATAATAAAAAACAAGATATGATTCACATGTCCACCAGCAAAAGAATAGATAACTAAATTCTGGAGTATTTACATAATGGGATACTACTAAGATTTTAAAAAGACTGAATTATGATACCTGCAATGTCATGAATGAATTTAAGAAACAGTCTAAATGAAAGCAGACACAAAAATGAACTTCCATTTATGTGGAATTATAGAGTATGCAAAATTAATCTATGGGGATAGAAATCAAATTAGTGGTTTCTTCTTGAGCAAAGTACTTTCTGGGAGGATGAAAATGTTCTATTTCTTGGTAGGGTATAGGATACAAGATTATATGTATTTTGGACAACTGATGAAAGTGCACACTTAAGATCTGAATTTTACCAGATTTAAATTATACCTCAATAACACATTTTTATTTAAAATGATTTCAAAATTTAAAAATCACTTTGAGTAAAGTTAAAAAAACTTTTAAAATAATTTTAAATAAAATGTCTTGGCTAAAGCTGAAAATTGTGAATGCTTACTGAACAGATTTTTGAATTTTGGACATAATGTAGAAAATATTTATAAGTAAATATCATTTGATTCAGAATTATGCTTCAGCATGTAGTACAATGCCCAGCTCATAGACAGTGTCAAATACATGTGCTGGTTGCTAAATGGCAGTAATTTAAAAATATACTTAGATTTTTCTTATTTTGTCCTGCCAAAGAAGACTGTAGCTTCATTTCCAACTCTGTGCTTTTCCTGTGCCCACCTCTCTCCCTGTGTGTATCTTTCCAGTTTTCTAAGCCAGTGATTATTAAACATATGCTTGCATCATACAGATTACTGGGCCACGCTGACAGTTTCTGGTACAGTAGGTCTGGAGCGTGGGCCAGAGAATTCCCATTTTTGACAAGTTCCCAAGGGGTTTTGATGCTGGTACTGTTTGATTTGGGGGTCACAGTTGGAGAACTACTACTTTTAGCATGTCTTCAGTTAAATCAAAGATCCATCCTTTTCCAGCAAAGGTCAGTTGGAAAGGTAGTCTTTCCTAACTGCCTTCAGCCTTATCCTCCGAGTTTTTACTACATTTCTCACTGATACTACCCACTTGCTGTTTAGTTTATTCTCCCTTGCAGTTTATTATTGGGAAAGAAAAAATACTTGCATGTATTTTATCAGGTAGGTGGTAAATCGCTCAAAGGGAGGGGCCCTGACTTAAGTATCTGCATTCCGCTTACACTTAGAACAGGCTATAGGGCTAATGGGTGATATGTAAATGCTGATGCCTCTAATATTTATACATTCTTCTGAAACATGTACAGATACTACTAAAAACAAGAGCTAATTTCCAGTGAAAAATACTATCTTCCATTATGGTGAATTACCTGTCATTGGGACAGTGACTAGGCAACGTCCAGTCATGTTGTGGGTTAATGAGGAAACCCCAGGACAGGAAGACTGAGCTTGGTGTCAGAGTGCCAACCACCATCTGGAGAGGTTTGCGAGGGCGTGATTTACCTATGGAGGCAACATACAGGTTAATTCTGGTAACATTTAGTGTATTTTCCTGATTGGGATAAAATGCATAAAGATAACTTGGCAAGATGATGAAGAGTATAAAAGCATCAAGTTCCTTTACTTTTCACATAGTGCACAAATACTACTAATTATTTGCCCATGAATTTAAGCATGAACCAAATGAAATATCCTTTTTGATATCTATGTTATGTAAGTGTATGTGTGTATATATATATATATGTACATAGGCATATATGTGTAATGCATGCATATAAACTGTATCCAGTCATATCTAGTTTTTGCTTGTGGATATGAAGGTCTTGGCTATTACCAGTGAAATAAACAAACACACATACACATACACACACTTCATTTCTTTTACAGATAAAATAAAATCAAGCTTATTTTTTTCCTGGGACCATGTATTAAAGTGCAATAACAACTAAGAAAAAACAAACTTACCATCTAGATTGTAGGTTATATTCTTTAAAAAAAAATCTATTTGTAGTATAAAATCCCTTGTCATGCTATTGCAATGAACATATTTTTTACAGTGAGTATCTAAATGGAAAATGTTCACACATTTTTAATAATGCAAGAAGAGTAGGAATAATGTAGGAAGCACAATTGTTCTGATGGAACTAACTGAATTTGGGCAATGTCAGGCGTGGTGCTGAGAGATTGCTACAGATTCTTTTCAAGTATATAGGAAGCAGACATTTGCATTTTGAAAAATACTTGAAACTCCAGGAATGGGGGACAGTGAAAAGGAGGAGAGAAGATCGTCTACTATGGAAACCAACACTGGCTCATAAAAATGTCAAAGTAAATAAAAATCCAGCTGGAGTGCCAACAAAACTAAATAGAATGAAACATACATGCTTTGTATTTCCATTGCATTTCTTCTTTCAATTCATGAGACTATGTATGTTGTATTTGCTACAGGAAGAACTTGTGTTAGTTATCTAATATAGTGGATCTCATTTAACAGAATAAAAATAAGGCTGAGAGAAGTTTCAAGGGAGTCCAAGGTCACCTCAAGAACAGTTAATATTCAAATCTAAGTCTTCTGAAATGTAATCTAGTTTTCTTTTTCTACATCTTTGGCATAGCTCACAATGTGTAGGAAGATAATGTCATCACTTAGGTATATTTTTCTTTCTCCAAGGGAACCTAAGGCTTACATTACCATCAAAGAATTATTGCACTAAATTTAGATTTTAGTATGAAAATTATTAATTGAAATCTATGTGACAGATGCAAATATAAAATGATGGAAGTTATTCCATTAGTAATTATATCATTTTCAAATGCAGACTGCAAAAACAAATATCATATCCGTTGCCTGAAAGGAAAGGTGGAGTGTTATATCCTGAGCAAGATTAAACAATTTCCTGAGCTAGTCATCACAATGGGAAAAATAGTTTCTAAGATCAGTGTCACAGAAGCCTCAAAATGAAATGAAGCGATGAAGTGGCACTAAGGTATAATCACACTCTCTTGACTTTCCTTATATATTTTTGTTTGTATTAAGAAACAGGTGAATGAATATGAAGCCAGAACCCCATGAAACCATACTCATGCTACTTGACTTTATTGTTAAATATTCTGAAATAGAGTCTTAAAATATTGAGAGTACATTTACTCTAAAATGTGTGGAAATCTGCCTGGACAATTACCACTAACAAGCTTTCAGGAGTGATTGAAGTCTTTTTTGTGCATAATATAAGAGGCCAGGAAATGGAATGTATATTTGTCAAAATACTTGACCATTTACTGCTTTTCTGTAAAAGAAGTGGAAACCAAACAGAGTGGGGGGAGGGGATTGTGGTAACCAGGCTGTGATTTCTGGTAACCAGGCTGACCGATATATCTAGAAGACAGAGCATGCAGCTACAAAGGCCCTTTGCTCTGTGTATCTGAAGTTTGTATGCTCCTCCCTGACCATTCATCCCTTTAGAAAGAAATAACAAACAAAAAAAATCCTTTGTGAGCCATCTAGTGTATAAAAGATAAACATGACTAGGAAAAGTTATTTTGAGAACGTATTACATTAGACAATAAGAAAAACATTGTGATCAATTTTATCTACAGAAGTCGTGGTATCAGACAGTAAAAGTACATTCACACTTCTACAGGTTCTTCCTGAGAGAAATGGCCTGGGTATTTGACCTGAGAAGAAATTTTAGTGTGATACTGGAAGAGTATAGGATTGTAATCTGCTTTTAGTCATGTAGAAATATTGCTACTCATCTATTCCTATGGTATTTACTTTCCTGTTTCACATCCCCTTAACGCCTGGGAAGATGGGTGTTACGTTGCTGTTTAGAAAAGGAATCTGTGCTCTTTGTTTGACTAAATAGTAGAGGATTAGAAGGAAGAGATAAGGAACAAGTAAAACCTAAGTTCCAATCCATTTAACACACATGTAAGTGAGTTATGCTTTTGAAATGTAAACAGTGTCTTTCAGCAAAAGTTAGACATTAAACTTTGCCCTTAGATCTGAAAGGCTCAGTTGCTGGCATGAGTTTCCACATTGCAAAACAGGCTATAGCTAACTCTGAGTGAGCCCTTGCTTTGGGCCAGGCCCTGTCCTTCATGTCACATATGCATGATCTCATTTGATCCCCACAACTGACCCTATTATGCAGCAGAAAGAAGGAGCGGAGGTTCCATAATTGGCCTAAATCCCTGGAGTTTGTACGTGGTGGTGCTGGGAGAAGTTCCGGAGCAGTGTCCACCACCAGACTGCTTCCGGGCGAGAAGGACTAACTGTGACACTGCGCCTGCTGTGCGTATTCGACTTCTAATCTATACTCCCAAGGCATCTCCATGCCACCTGGTCTCCACGGGTAGAAAGGAGATGAAGAGGTATGGTTTAAAGTTAACGAGAGGAAAAAAAAAATCAACAGAAAATACCTGAGCACGACTTCTTTTGACTTGGAGGAGGAGCAGGCCGCACAACTATCAGATATTTAGGCTCTGCATCTGGAAGCAATAACAGTTACCAGTAAAATTCTTTGAGAACAAGCAGTATCCACAATAGCATATCCCTGTTCTGACTCAGTGTTGCTCAGAGTTAGTCATCGTAACCCCAGCACCATGGACAAGAGGATCCAGGAATTCAGAAAGTTCATACTTCCTGAAATAGTTTGGTCTGTTAAGATTTTAAAATGAAAATTAAATCCAGGTTTTCAAAACCAAAGGCACAGGTGTGGGGGAGAGGTCTTACCAGAATCTTGTTAGACATAGATTTCATGCCACATTTTCACTAGTCCTTTTCTCTGCAGAGATTTTTTTTAAAACATCAGACCCTATTTATTCTGTTATCCCATTCTTCACACATGGTCAGCATGATGCTTCAGAATCAGAGAGGGAAAATCACACTTGCATACAATATGAGACATAACATGTTGTATGACTGAACCAAAATTGCTCACTTTTCTGGAAATATGAATATTTTAAATATTATGTCTATATTTTATCCTATTTGCATAATTTCTCAGCCTGTTACCATATTCAACTAGTCATGTTCATGAACAATTTTTAAACAAAGTCACAATTTCAGGTTGGTATACTTTTCACCTAAACTTTCCCAATGGATCTTTAAAAAAATAAATTTGGGTTTTAAATAAAATGATGTTTAAACAATCAGTGTACTAATTCAATCAGAGGCTAATAATTTATCCAATAATTTTTTAAATTGATGCTTCCAAGATGAATGATTGGTTTAAATATATAAATAATCCAAATACATGTTGGGTACTCTAAACAGCATTTTATAGGCAACTCTACTGGATTTACTGGTTAATGGGCATTGTCTACAATATTCCTTCAGTAACTTTGGATCCTGAAACTTATTCTATACCGAACTTCATTTGGATGCAGTAGTCAACAAAAATTCACCCCTAATTGCTCAGGCAGACCTTAGATTTAGGTTTAGTTTTAATTCTAGGTTCAAATATCTCCCCTCCATAAGTTTGGAACAAAGGCTTTCTCTGCCCAAGGCTTTACAGAGCTGACCTCATTCTCAGCTAGTGACAACATGGCAATTCAGCCACTTTTAATAACTTGAGCTTTTGTCTTTATCTGGACACCTCACACAGACCTATTTGCTATAACCTGCCACAGTACTTACACTGCATAAAGTAAACCAGGTAACCTCTTGAACTGACCTCAGATCTTTGACTGTTTATTAATAGTTGACTCATGACCACAACACAGATAATGGAGCATTTCTTGTATTTCAGTCTTATGTGTTTGAAAGCATATCTTGCTTAGTGGAGCTTATATAAGGAATGCTTAACTTAAATCAAATTCCATAGTAGGAATACAATAACTATATCCTGACTTTATTTGAGATACAGAGCATTATAGGTATCAAGAAAATACTATGTATTAAGTACTTCCTATGTGCAGAATACTTGTTAAGCATTTCACATTCTTAATCACTACTCATGGCAATCCTACCTCATATGTATGTACTGTTAGCATCCCAATTTGTAGATGAGGTCACTGAGGTAGGTCAGAATCCTGGACATGTGACATGCACAGTCACAAGGGCTCCATGTTTAGAAGGGTCCCATGCTTGGTTTAATGCCCTGCTGTCACCATCCTGAAGATCATAATACTTTTATCTTTGAACTGTGTTTTGTAAGTGAAGTCCAATAGGACAACAGAGCATGCATATGAGCAGAGGAGCAATAAGCATAGCTACAGTGACTTCCATTCACACAGAGCATTTTGGGTGCCCTATTAGCACAGCATTCCAAAGGCCCCATGTGCCTGGAACTTCAGCAAGACTCAAGCAGAACAAGCTGAGCACATACATTTATGACTGAGGAAGGAGGCATTGGAGGTGTCACTGACTATGCTGCAAGGCATCACTTTCCATTCAAACCAGAAATTGTTTCTATGCAGAGAGAAGGCAATGGCATTTTAAAAAACACAAATGAACATATCATATCCTTTATCATGTTACTTCCCTGTATTTGCTAACCATGTATGATGAAAATGAAGACACAGGGGAAAGAGCAAGCAAGAGCAACCCCTAATCCTTTCTCTTTCACATCTCCCTCACTCTTAAGTCAAAGCGCAGTATTGGTAGAATGTACATGTATCAAGCACAAAGTTTAGTTAGTTTGTGCATTTCCACTATTCTGGTAAGAATGAAATACATACGCACGTATGAACTACAAAATACAAATGGTATAATTTCAGTGATTTTTGCTTAGGAGTTAAAGTTCATATTTGCATTTAAAGCTAGTGCTACACAATATAAATAGTAACATTCAGCCTGATAATTTAAAATTTTAATTTATTTAATGACATTAAATAGCAAATAAAATAACACCATGACAAGTTAAGAGAGAAACTGTGGAAGAAAGGAAAAAACTATATTTTTAGCTCCTTTAATGATACTTTTTTTTCATGGTTTTTGAACCAGGGACCCTGCATTTTTATTTTGCACTTGGCTTTGTATATTATATTGCTATCTTTATCTAGTTCCCAAATGTCCTTTTAATGAGTTTCCAGAATTCAATTCTGGAAAACAAAGCTAAATCCTTATTTTTCTTAAACTGTGGCAAAGTCTCTTAGAGCTAGCTTTTTATTGCCTTCATTGATACAATTAACTCAAGTATGTCTCAATGGTTTTTAAAAAAAGTCCTGAAATATGAGAAAAATAACATACATAGTAGCCAAAGCTAGTGCCATGATCCAAGACATGGTTATATGAGCAATTTAAAAGTAATTTTTGCTTTGATCACAGTCATTCTGCATAAAGCCTAGGCTGTTACAGCCAATTACAAATCAGAACAAATGTTGGGATCTGGGTGCCTATGCAGGCTCTCACTGTTCATTAAAAACTTCCAAATTCATGCATTTCATCATTTTTGGCACTCAATTTACAACACAGCCTTGGGAAAATCAAACAACTGAAAAGCATTTTTATTTCTGTTCTGCTCTATGAAATTCTCATGGATTTGTAGCAGCCTGGAAATATATACACTGTACCTTGACCAGAAATTCTGACAACATATGCCAAAATATACTGTGTCTTCATTGAGACAACATATGTAAATACAATGTCAATTTAAGAAAATTTGTGTCGAATACAGTTACCTTAACAAACTTTCCATTCCTAATAAACCTCTACAATGTTGCAGACTAATTCAATCTTACTTGTGTAATATTTTTAATGCCCTTTGGTAGAGAACAGGGACAGCTTACTATTTAAAGAAACCTACTACTGATATTCCTTTATAAAGTCCCAGTTTTTGATGATGCAAATAATCTCCTCATAATTGCTCTGCTTGAAAAATCCCAAGTCTCATACTCATTAGAGGACATCTGCTTTGCAATCTATACTGCTTCAGAATGTTATCCTGGTGAGGTTTACTTCTGCCACTTAAGTTTCCACCAAATATACCTAAAGTAAGTTAGGATGATCCTAAAGGAAATCAGGTAAGAGGCCTGAAAAAGCAGTAATTTATTTACTTTGACCATTTTTAAAAATAATTTGGTTTCATGTCAAACTAAGTTTATGGACATAAGAGCATAGAGTCTGGAGCCTGGAATCAAATCCTCCTCAGCTAGTTGCTCACACAAGGCCAAGTGCTTAGTATCTATGCACCTCAGTTTCCTCACCTGCAAAATGGGAAAAATCATAGTAGCTAGCCTCATAGGGTTCTTAGTGATGATTAACCTGTGGTAGTGCTGAACACACAGGAAGTGCTAATTTTATGTTAGCTCTCATGATGCTGACGATTTCTTGAAAGCAGAAGTTTGTGTCCTAAGAGGCCCTGAAGACATATTAGAAGAAGGGAAAATGTTCAAAACCTTTTTTGTTAAAGCAAGCACTGCATATTCCAAAATGCAGAAATGTCATAAAAAGAAAATTACATAACACATGGATGTCAGATTCTTTCTCTTTCAAACTCTAATCAGGCTTTTCTGAACTTTTTTTTTGACCAGGCCCTGACTTTTGGGCCTCTGTGTTCATCTGTGCATTGTTCTTTTTTAGCAAAAGTCTTGCTAAGATGGTTCAGCCAGAATCCCCCATCCTCCATACATGATCACGCTCAATATCAAATCAGGTTCCTCCATTCCCCAGGTAAAGTCTCATCTCCTTGGCCTGCTTTCAGCAAGAATCCTATCAGGTTAGTTAAGCCAGAATCCCCCTTTACCCTATGTTTCTTCTTAGTAATTTTCCATCCACTGACTCCCACTCTGCTCCTTAGCTAGAAATTCCCACTTTTCCCTGTTGTGTTTGGAATTGAGTTCAAACTCTTTCCTTCCTCTGCAAGACTGTATTACAGTGGTCCCTATACCTATCACAATCGAACCACTTTGAATAAAGTCTTCCTTACCATTTTTAACAACTGCCCCTAAATAATGTTTTCTTTAACAATACTTACTCAGAAATTCCATGCAAAAGTTCCTACAAAATATATTGGCAAGCCAAATCTGACAGTACATAGTATAATAATATGTTGTGGCCAAGTGTAGTTTATTCCAGGACTGTTACATAGGAGGAGAAAAAAATCCTATTTCCACAGGTGCTGAAAAGGCATTTGACAAAATCCAACACCAATTCCTAGTTAATAAATAGGGGATTCAATGGAATGCTTCTTTAATAAAATATAACTTGGACCATCTGAACCACCTCTATTAAATGTGCAGGACCCTCTACAGATATTTCTGTTGAGTAACTCTCCCTGGGTTTATGAGAATATTCCCTCATTTTTCTTTCCCATTTGTTACTAAATTTTTTTAATGTTACGCTGTTATTCTATTTTCATAACCTGCTTCAGCTTTTCTATTGAGTAGCTGAGATATAAATTAGGAAAACAAACAATGTATAATGGAACCAATGGTATTATGTGTTCTCTTTGGAAATAACTAAAATGAGGCAGTGGGTTGCAAGCATTCCTAGAATATTTACACATAGTCTTACCAGAGTTCTGAGTTAGAATAAACTGTTTCAC